GATTGTTGTTTCTCCTCAAAACAGGATTATCTTTTTTTAATGGTATTTTACAATAGGCAAACAGTATACTTAAAGCAGTCGTTGTAAGAAATCATGATCTGTTTTGCAAAAATTCTTAAAAGCACTTTAATATTTTGGCATCAAAGTCTGGATATAAACTATATTATGCTCTCATCTGCTGCATTACTGGTCCTTGCTGAAAAAGCACTATCTTCTTTGTGATAAGGACTGGAAAGGAAAACCTCTTGGACAAAGGCTCAGTCAACTGATCATTGATCATCTGGTTTTGCAATTAAATTAGTCCAGCTCAGTGATGTGCCTTTCGAGTGTTTTGTATGTTCTTAATATTCAATTTCAGGACAGTTAAACCTGAGCCAACTGAAGCACCCCAAACAAAGCAAAAAATTTTTGCCATTGTTTCATTTCTTTTTACCAAACTTATTATCTAGACAGATCTATATAACCAATATTAACTTCTATGGACTAATTTCACTATTCAGTTTACTCTTGCTTTTTTATTGTTGAAATGTAAATCTACTTTTTATAACTGTGTTTGTTATGTTTACATCACTGAACAATCCTTTAACTAAAACAAGCATATGTAGGAAATCATCCGAAGTACAGACTATTTTACTGATTTTTGCAAGAGAATGATCAGTGTTGGAGAATACACTGTCTAATTGCAATGATAAGACATTATCACTTTAACTGGACAACTATAAAGGATCTTTTAAAGTTAAATGCACAACTAATCTACTATGTCATTCACTTGAGATGACAGTTACTAAAGCACTAAATGAGTCAAGTTGTAGTCACTTCTGTTTTGGACTACCTTTAAACTGCACTACTAAGAATGCGTACAAATCTCTTCCTAGTTCATCTACCAAAACCCACAGCAGACTAGCCTCCATTTAATCATTTTTCCTCCAATGAAATGTTTCTTTCCAGAAAAGAATGTTTACTCTAACATCAAATAAATGAAAACAAACAATTCAACAGCAGAAGGTATTTGAATTATAACTAAATTTGCAACTCTCATCAAGAGATTTTCAGATGAAGAAACAACAATGTATACGAACTATTCATTCTAAACATCACAGACATCCATCCAGCTGTCTTAGGTTTCAATTCAATCATGCCTCATACTGAATATCCATTTTCATATTTATTACTACGGCATTTGTATGCTCACAGACACTGTTTCAAGACTGACAACATTCAGTATTTACTATCTAACTTCTTTGCTTTGTTAAGCAAACAAAAAAGCTTCAGAAAAGACTTAAGCTAGTGCAAAATATGTGTACGAATGCAGAAGAATTGAGCACTTCACTATACTCTGGAAGAAAGTGTACTTTACTGGATTTAATTAAGAAGAAAAACATTAATTATTATGCATGGTCAAATAGATCATTTTTTACATTAATTCAATGCAAGTGTTCATATTATTTTTCTTAAGACAAAAAGATCTTTGTGTTTACTAAAATATGATTTTTAGTGTAGTTACAAAACTAAAGGCAATGTGAGGGGAAAGAAGGATTTTAAAAAATGAAATAGCACTTTATCAATACACATCAAAATTAAGACCAAACCTGATGACTAGATTAAATTGACATTGACCATATCAAAACAATTCCAGCATAGAAGTGGAGCTATTAGTGAGATAAAAAGATAAAAATATCTAAGCTACAAGTCCACGAGTAACACACAAGAAATATGATGGAAAAAAAAACCCAAACCAACAACTTAGGAGTTCTGGGGTTTTTAAAGATAAATGTATTACAAATGGAAAAAAACCAAAAGCAAAACAAACCAAACCAAAAAAACCCCCAAGCACCGACAACAAAGAAACAAACCACACACACACAAAAAAAAAACCCACCAACAAACAAACAAACAAAAACTTGAAGTGATTTCATTTGTGAAATCAGCACAAATAGTGCTGTAGAAGTTTCTAGTTCTACCAATCCTCTGTGTCCCCAATAATAACTTATATTAATGTAATGTGCAAATGTAGTTTGAAACCCAGGTAGACAAACACTAGACTGAGACACACAAAAACATAAGGATAAAATTGTCTTTTTTTACCCCAATTTTGTTTACAGTTCAGTTGAGATTTAAAAATCATACACGCTAGTCTTAAATTCATCACAGAGTTAAGAATACAAATACCGTAAAAAGTAACACTAAACCTCTTCCCATCTCTAAATCTCTTACCTAATTCCATTCTGTGGTTAGCCTAGTAAAACTGTGGGTCCTCATGAGCTTTTGAATAGTTTGTATCAGAACTAATTTCATACTTAAATACCTTCTAATACTGACTTACCCTATGAGAAATCCTTTTTACTTAACTGTTTTATTCTAGTCAGGTTATTTCTTCTCTTTGCATATAAATAAAAGCATATTGCTTAATTTTAAAGAAAAACAAAGGCAACACTACTGTTGATTTAGTTGTAAAAGACAAATTTCAGGTTTTAGTAAAGAAGTACCATAAAATACTTTAAAGCTCTTAAAACTGCACTGCTTTAACTTGGATGTTTAATTCTTGCATGCTACTTTCACAAAGTAACTGTAAAACAGGAAGAATATTTGACAATGCACTCTTCACATATGCTTCAGTAGCTGCATGGCAGAAATCAATAGGATTCTCTTATCCTACAGTCACAGGCATTTGATTCTTTCACTCAAAGAGTGCTTAAGGAAAAGCAGCTTCCCACCTCTCCACTGTAGAATAGTCAATCTGCTGCAATTATCATATCGCTGTTTGATTCATTATGTGCCCAAGTACATGGAAATCTTTAACAGTCATCAGATTATAGCAGAGATAATAAAAACATTGCATCATTATGTTTTCTAGCAAGAATCACTAACTACAAAACTATCCAAAATTCATAAATATATGGTAAATAATTTCTCTCTAATAATATAGTACATACCTTTACTATGATAATTTTTATATGTTTTTAATAATCTAAATACAACTTGTTTCAGACAGTCACTCCAAAGATGGGGTTACTAGAATAAATTCCACTTGCTTAAGTATGCATTTCTAATGGCAAAGTTCTTACAAGAAGCAGGAAAGACATGTGAAGAAAGGGAGAGAAAGGAAAATACACTGTTCTGACTAAATTGCAAATGCTACACCTTTATCTGACTTACACAGTTGTGTAATTTTTAAATAAAGTGCTACCCTAGAGAGCATGAAAACAGCTATACAGGCAAATTCTACCTGTTGTAAGTACGTTGTTTCAGAAGTGTAAGTATCAATTGTAAAGAATTTTAAGTGCTCTAGTAGTAGCTTGATTATCTACAGAAAATACAATATGAAAGGTCCATTTCTATGTGTACATGGGTAATTTTAATCATGTGTCAGTTCAGTAGCTAAATTATAATAGCACACATGAAAAGTTTCATCAAATGCAGGCCATTTCTTAGATTTTGAAAGCAAACAAAGTCAATTGGAATTACTTTTTTGTTAAAAGAGACATGAGAAATGTTGAGATTTTATTACAAGGAAGACAAATATAAAATGTGAAAGAGAATAAAAGAAAAAATATAGTTAAATTAACACATTCCCAAGGTCTGCACTAAAACCAGAATGGATTAGTCTGAAGAGCCAACATTAAATGAGCAAGGAGCAAGATGGCTTTATTTAATGACCGGAGAAAGAGGAATCCAATTCAGAGTGTGGAGAAAGCAAACATGTATCTCTGATGCCTATCCAAGTCTTCGACTCTCCTTGCACTGCTTGTAAATGATGTGCTGAAGGTGAGCACATATGATATGTACTTCTCAAAAAAAAAACTGGTTTGAGACATTAAGGTTCTGATTCATTGTAACATTCTTAAAACAGTGAAGATTTAGGCTTCATTCAACTTTGGCTCAGAGGCTGTTCCTTTTCTCACCTCTCAGTGCAGTAATACCAGCACTTGGACTTTGTCTCTTGTGTCTAGCACAGTTCTTACAGCTCTAACAGGTCCCACTCTCCCTAGCCACACCTTTTACTATCATTCTTTCCTGATGAAAACTGCATCTCTCTGTACTTACTCTCTGGCACTGGTGTGGCAATCAGCTGCTAATCCCTTCTCATACCAGTTTAACCTCCTCTTGGTTTTGTGCTGTAACTTAGAAGGAATATACTGACATTATCTCTACTACCCCCTGCTTCAGAAAGTAAAATTTAGTACCTTTAAAAACGGTCCCTCCTAAATCCTACCATTTGAAATGCAAATATTCTAGAGGAAACTACCAGCTCTCTATTTTTACAAAATCCTTCAGATGCTTCTAACAAAGACTTTTAGATCTACAGTCCCAGATTTCAATACCTGTGATAGCTAATGTGAAAACCAAAAAACATCCATTTTAAAATTTTCTCAGAAGTAAAATCCTGCACAGTTTTGACTCTGAAATCTAAAAAACCTATTTGGAGATAGAACTGTACCTTACAAATAATTAACAGCTAACATCAATAGTCAGACATCACTGCGTTAGGTACTATGTACTTACTTAGTAAGAGATAAGCTTTTATCCTAAAAGCTTGTAATTAAGCTTATTAAAAGTGACACAAAGACATGAGAAAAAGACAAGATAATAATACATTAATTATTATTAGCATAAAGAAGAGTCATAGCATACCATTTGCCTAGTCATTGCAAAGAATAAGCACAGTCAAGTTTTTTTTTTTAAAAAAGCCTCTGAAAATGAAAACATAAGTGACTTTTCAGACTTAAGCAGGTCTTTCCCTTTTCATGTCAAGGGCAGCAGAAAAAAGTGTGAAAGCTTTTTGGGAAAAACTAGAACAAAGATCTATGACAACACTGGCAGGCCTAAAACCAATAAACTGGAAGCTCAAAACCTAGCAACAAAGACAACTAGATTTTGTTCTATGATGTAGGAGTCTGGAATGCAGGTTTTCCACCCTTCTCAAATGTGCTTTGGATTTCAATGAGACTTTGTCATCTTGCTCAATTCTGTCCACACTTACTGGAGAGCCAAATACTCACCTCATCAGTAAGAAACTCCTTACTTAAACCAAAGTCTGTCAGCACCACATGACCATCAGAATCGAGGAGAATATTCTCAAGTTTTATATCTCGATATATAATCCCCAACTGCAAACAGAATATAACAAAAAGTATTTCCACATAGTGTAACCACATCAAGATGTTGCTGAATGTTTTTAAATATAAAGCCACCGAAATTCACATTATTAAGGTAATCTGACACATGAAAGTTGCACCTCAAAAAAGACAATTTTTAAAAGCTTTTGAAGAAATAACTTTAAAATTACATTAAAGATTTCAGAAATTACACTGTGCTTTCCTTTGAAGGACATACTGTGTTCCTTGAATCTAAAAGTAACCAAATACTTGCTGTTGAGTGCAAAACTCAATTCTGCTTTCATTAAGAATGAAAATGGATGCTTCTGTTATATGGTCTAGATATAGACCATACATACATGCATGTTTTGTAGTAATCTACAAATCTACTTATTACTTCTGAGAACTATAACACTTTTTATATCTATGGTTGTGCCAGAATGCTACTACTACATTTGTGTAGAAACAAGGATAACTGGACAATATAACCCAAAACTTGTTCATGTTCACTACAAATTAGTTTTAGTGACATACATGATTTCACATGGATTACGAAAAATGAACAAATCATTTGTAAATAACACTACTCTTCAGCCTGCAGACAAAAATTTGTGGCCTTAAACTGATGCAGGGGAGACACTTCATTGGGTACTATTTCTAATTATGCAACTAATGTCCCATTGCTAAATAAAGTTACTCACAATTTAAAAGAATCTAAACCAATTGTTCCCCTTACTAAGTTTATATGATACAAAAAGAATACAGCTGTTAAGACCTCAAAATCAGCACCGAAATCAAGTTATTTTACCTTGTGGAGATGTTCAAGTGCCAAAACGATTTCTCCAATGTATATTTGCACCTCATTTTCTGAGAATCTCTCTCTGTGTGAAAGATGAGTAAACAATTCTCCTCCATTTATATAGTCTAAAAAATAGAACACAGAACCTTAAAATTTCACTTTCTGAGAATTTTATTTTCTTATTGGAATATTATTAGGTACTTTGTAAGCTATTTAGTAACACATTCTACTGTCGGATGCTTTTCCTTAATTGTAATTCACTAGTATTTCATCATGCTGTACAATACTCAGTTTCTTTCTTAGAGGACTGAAAAATTAACAAGACCCACTTTTAAATAAGCAGCAAAACCATAAAATAAGCCCCAGCTATTCCTAAATTATAAAGACTTTTTTTTCCCCACAAACTCAGCCTTTTAGTATTTAGCAATATGAAAAGTAAGAAGTACAAACGATGTCTACAAACAGAACCCTTGTAGACACTTATGAAATACTCTGATGAGCAACAAGGCAGACTGACACAAAGAAAAGCAATTCAGAAAACAGGTATTAGGGGAAATAATCAACTATGGACAATTTTCCCTTCACAAGGGAAACCTTGATGGCAAAACTTACTGTAGGAGATTATTTCTACATAGATTCACTCATGGAAACCACACTTTCATTCTTTGCAGGCTATGACACAAGGATTTTCCCACAGTAAGGGAGAGGAAAAAAAAATTATTACAACAGAGCTCCACTGTATCACAAACGTATTTTAGATGTAGAGCTGTTTATGATAGTGTACATTACAGCCATTGGTTTGCAACCTCACAGCCCCCATTATTGTATTTGAGGTCTACATACACAGAGCAAGGAACATGCCCCACAAAATCTTACTCAGTATTTTCTTGAATATTGTTTTTATAGATTTGTTGGTATAAAACACAAATCCACAAAAGGGGTCCAATCCTATTCTAAGTCAATACTTTGCAGGAGAAAGCATATATACAAATTACACACATTATGATCTCTCTCCACTTTTCTGTTCTCCAGTCCTCTCTTTGGAAAGGGCTATTAGTGGAACCAAACAACGTGAGAAGGATTATTTATCCAGACTAGTAAGAAAATGAAAAAGATTTAATATAGTATAAATAAGCCACATTTTACAATTGCTTCCTTCTTCTAAAAAAACTTCAGCACATAGAAAAAGGTAACAGAAACAAACACTTGAAAAATTTCTAGCCAGGACTGCTAACTTAGTACAAGGTAAGCATTGAATTGCCATTGAATTGTTCTAAGGACTGTGACAGATGCAAACCAGAGCTGCCACAGGAGTGGCACAACAAGCTTAATTCTATCCAGGTTGTAACACTAACCACAGCCCAATGAAACAATCAGCCTTCAAATTCTTGGTGAGAGATCAAATGCATTACTGACACAATGGAAAAAAAATCCTGGTTACTTCAGTATAGACTCCACCTGACAGTTCAGATTCTTTAGCTATTTTTTTCAAGTATTAGTTAACCTTGTGTGACAAGTTCTGTATAGAACTGATGGTACTCACATGGATACAACATTTTGTTCGTTCCATACAGTTTAAAACCAAGATAAAAACTGGAATTAACTCCCAACTTTGTTTTCTGGAAATCTAGCAGAAAAATGCAGCTGCATGTCTATACTCGATTCAATCTAAATTCATATAGCTATGTACTCTGACAGCATGAAGAACTGTACTAAATATTGCACTGAGGCTCCAATTCTAAAACCTCTAAAAACTAAACTTGCAGGTAGCTTGCACACCAAGTTTAGCCAAGTACAAAAACAAGACAAATGCTGGTTTTCCCCAAAATCCAGAAGCCTCTGAAACACTTTAATTTCAAAACTAAATTGAAGTGACTTACACAGAGTTACATAATAAGACATGGAAATCTTGTAACAAACAAGTTTGGATTTTTCCCCCTCAGGGAGGGTGTGAAGCCCAGTTGATTTATAAAGTAGCTTTACATCATGTTAAGGGGGAGAAATTTTCACTGTTACAGAAAGTCATTAAAATAAGATTTTAAACTAATTATTCCTACTTTCTGCCAAACACTAAGGAAAAAAGGACCTTTCTGGCCCCAACAGATATGCTGAGTATGGATGTAGAACTTAAAAAAACTTATAAGAATTTATAAAAAAGAAAAAGCCAAAACAAAAGACTGTAATTGTATCTTAGCTATGAACTTCTCACTTCAACACTGCACTATAGCGGACATGTGCCCCTTCTGCATTATCTGCTACACAGCATTCTTCAGAACTACTGGGCTTGCTCCTTTTTAACTCTTATGAGAATATAATATCAAGCTTTTAATTTTCTTTCATACAGGAAGCTTTTATGGCCTTCTAATTATGTTTATTTCCCAAACTACCCCCTACTATGTATTTATTTTTAGGCAACTATCACAGGGTTTCCCCTCTTTTTTTAAAAAAAAATATTTCTAACAGGATCTAAAGTGCATTTTAGTAAAAAGTTTCATTTATTTCATTTTATTTCATTTATTCTTTCAAATTTTTCCAAATTATAAGTCAATAACTTTAAATCCAATTTAAGTTTCAAAACCTTAATTATTAACAGTTACTATCAAGAAATCACAAAGCTATCAATATATTTCTAACTATTTATTTGTGACAATCTTTTATGTATTTCTTTAATGTTCTAGTAAGAGGAATTTGCAAGAAACTATATTACAATTTTCAACTCTCATTTTCAAATGGAGTCTAGTGAATAGTCCATTTCAGTTCTAAATGTTTATTATTTCACTCTAGTACATGAAACTAAGGTATGTGCATGAAACACCTTTCTAAAAATTGACAGCTAGAGGTGTAGATTCATTTAATCTTAATAAAGTTTTACTAATTTGATTTAAATCATATTGTTAGTAAAGGTTAAAAAAAATGAGTTATGGATAAAATGGAATGCAGAACTTGTACTTCAATTAAAGAACAATTTACTTCCTCAAACATTTCACTAGACAAGTGTATCATAAGACCAAGCCTTAAATCAATCATTCAATTTACAATTCTTTTAAAATACTCTTAGTAACAAGATTTTAAAAATTGCTGATAATTTTCTTACAAATACACCTTATACAGCAAACATCAATTTGCTGCTACTTTGAAAGGTAGAAATACTTCTAAAATTAGAGAAGTACCAAGTGTTATGAGCAAGCTCTACTTTCAGCACGGAAATGTATGATTTTTGGACTGTCTCTTAACACTCAAAAATTGAAACATGCAGGTATCTCTAATACCCAGAGATCAAATTATCTCATAACAAAATGTTTAACAAAGCAAATGTTTCCAGGTCATAATGAATATTCACATACATTTTTTGCTGCATATAAGTCACAGATAACCATTACTCTGTCAAAGTCAGAGTAGCATACTCAAGCTCAAACAGGAAAACCACAAACACAGACACTGTCGAAGATGAAGTTTTACTTCCTATGCTTTCTCATGCAATCTCCAAACATACTGTACATTAGACCACATAAAAAAAACCTTACAAAGCACTGAGATAAAAGTGTTTTTTCTTTTTTATTCGTAAGAACTTGAATCCTGAAGAGTACTCACCTAAAATGAGATGAAGCTTTGTATCTGTCTGGAAGGCATAATGTAATGTGACCAAAAATGGTGATTGCCTAATGTGCTCCAAGACTTGTCGTTCTGTTCTTGTGTGCTCAGTTGTTTTGGCTTTTTGAACTATTGTTGCTTTCTTCAGTACTTTCATGGCATACAATTTTCCAGCATCATGGCCGCTTACTTTCCTCACTAGGAATACTTTTCCATAGGCTTAAAAATTAGGGAGGAAAAAAACCCAAAAACAAAGAAAAGAAAAAAAGAGACAAAAAACACAAGTTACCTACTTGTACTACAGATCTGGCTGATGCCATTATTACTTGCAACTACTCATTGTTATGGCAGACGGTAATCACTCAGGCTAAAAATCTACTAAAACACTTTTCCTCTTTCAGATTGACCATTTCGGAGCAAAATTTCAAACAAATGAGCTTCACAACTGAACATTGCAGGAGCAGGAAAAGCAATTGAACTACTTCAGTATTTAAAAACAATTTTAAAAGCGGATGATTTCATCCTTTGTGTTAACCTAAAACATCCATACCTAGAATTAAGCAAGAATTCCAAGAGATGCTATTTTTTGTTCTTAAAATAGCCTGCTCATATTTGCACAACTCCTATATTTTCATTACTGGTTTTATAGCACTGAAGTTACAAAAACCCATAGAAAAGCCAATTAATTCTTCCCATCAGTATTCCGTACATAGAAGCTTTCTGAGGCTCTCATACTGGACTTAAAAGGACTCCTACAAATAGTACACAAATAAATTTGTTATCTTTACCAGGCATACCTGTAGAAACAGTAAAGGTTAGAATTAGTGTGCAGTTGCTGGGCTGTGATCTCACGGCAATTACAGAGATATGGTGGGATGGCTTGCACAACTGGAATATTGTGATGGATGGTTACATACTTTATAGGAAAGAGGCCAGAAAGGCAAGGTGATTAAGTTCTCTTTATGTAAGACAGGAACCAAAATGTATCAAGCTTTGCATGCGGGTGGGTAAGAAGGAGCCAAGAGCTTATGGGTAAGAATTAAAGGATAGGCTAAAATGGGTGTTACTGTTACGGGTGTTTACTACAGGCCACCTGATTAATAAGAGGAAGTAGATGAGGCCTTCCACAGACAGCAGGAAGTAGCTGCCACATCACAGGCCCACAATTCTCATAACCATCCTGACAGCTGCTGGAAAGACATCACAGCTTAGCACACAGGACCTCAGGAGGTTCCTGCAGAGCACTGGTAACTTTGACACAGATGGTGGGGAAGCCCACAAGGAGAGATGTCTTGCGATGTCTGAAGGCAGCCTTGACTGCAGCGTCCATGAAATGGTGGAGCCCAGGATTCCGCATGGAGGAAGCATGGCAATAAGTAGGATTATAGCCCTGGACTTCAGGAAAAATAACTCTGGCATCTTCAAGATGCCTACTTGGAAGAACCTCATAGGTTAGGTCTCTAAAAGGTAGGGTGGGTCCAAAAGAGAGAATAAAGGGGTTGGAGGCCTGAATGGATGAGCAAGGCACTTCCAGCAAAACTCAAGACAGAATAAGGAAGTTTACAGAATGTGGAAAAGGGGTCAGCCCACTTGGGAAGAATATAGGAATATTGTCAAAGCATGGCAGGTATGTGTTAAGGAAAGCAAAGGTCCACTTGGAATTAAATCTGGTAAGAGAGATCAAAGACAAGAGGGTCTACTTCAAGGGTTATCAGTAGCAAAAGGAAGACTTGGGAAAATGTGGGCCCACAGTCCAGTGAAGTAGGTGCCCTGGTGACAAAAGGTACAGAGAAAGCAGAGTTACTGACCACCTTTGCTTCTTACTCATTGCTAAGGCTGGTCCTCAGGAATCCCAAGCCCTGGGGGCTTTCCCTTGGTTGAAGATAGGTTAGGCAAACCTGACACACACAGATTCATGAACCCTGGAGGGCTTCACCCATGAGTGCTGAGGGATTTAGCAGGTGTTACTGCTAGACCACTCTCCATTGTCTTTGAAAGGTCATAGAGAACAGGAAAGGTTCCTGAGGACTGAAAAAAAGCCAATACCCTGCCAGTCTTCAAAAAAGGGCAAGAAAGAATATCCAGGAAACCGTAGGCCAAGTAGCCTCACCTTCATCCCTGGAAAGGGGATGAAACAACTCATCCTGGATATCATATATATGCATGTGGAGGAAAAAGGGTTATCAGGAATAGCAAACAGATTCACCAAGGGGAAATCATACAACAATCTGGCATCCTTCTATGAACAATGAGATAGAAGGATGATTAGAGAACTGGAACATTTCTTATGTGAAATAAGGACCTTATTTCTTCTCCTCTTTAGCATGGAGAAGACCGAGAACAGAACTCATCAATGTGTACACATATCTTATAGACAGGAGTCAAGAGGATGGGGCTACACACCTTTCAGTAGTGCTCAGCAACAGGGTAAGAAGCAACCCACACAAACTGAAAAACATGAAGTTTCCTAAGAATGTGAAGACAAACTTCTTAGAGGGTGACAGAACACTGGAACAGACTACCTGGAAAGGCTGTGGAGTCTCCAGCTCTGGAGCTATTCAAAACCCACTTGCGCACAATTCCATGCAACATTTTCTGGGTTAACCTGCTTTAGCAGAGGGGCTGGACTAGGTGGCCTCCAGTGGTCCCTTCCAACCCCAACCATTCTGTGATTGTGTTGTAGAAAAACAGGACTTTATGTGAAAGAATGGGTGTCATTTTTGTAGATGGCAATAGCTATTGTTCAAAGAATCGGGAGAAAGGAACTATGAAGTGGTTGGCTTATTTAGATCAAGGTATTTAACAAGTTCTCTCACAAAAAGGGTCTTTAAAAAGCTAAAAAGTTATGGGTACAAAGGGGGGAATCCTCTAAAAAATTAAGAGATATTATAAGTTGAAAAGCTAAAGGTTCAAAAACAAATATTCAACTTTTTCAGAAAAAGCAAGTCACCACAAGAATTAATCCTGCCTGATTTGGTCATATATGAACAGTGAGGAAAAAAATTTGCTTGGTTTAGTAAGTTATCCAAAACAACAGAAACAGAAGCTGACTGCTGAACACTCTACCACAGTATGAAAATACTAAGTAGCTGAAAAAATAAAACGGCAGAGAAAATTTCCAACAGTAAACACATAATCCACATGAAGTATCATAATAGCACATAGTGCTAGAACTGAGGAGAGGAAAATACCTGAAGTTACCAAAGACAACCCCAAACAGAACGTTAGAAACTTCATGGGAAGTACTGAAGTGAAGAAATGACACAAATGTACCCACACCTTCAACACAAACTCAGAAATCCCTTATGCTGTGGTAGAAAACTTTTTGTGCTCCTGTCTTGAATGAAGCACATTATTTTGGTACCTTCAGTCTTCTGTCCCCAGCTACCCTGCTCCCATAAGAAAAAAAAAAAGTGTGAAACATCAGAAAAGGATAAAAGAACTCCTCTAAACATGAAAGGAACTAAACATACTTCCACGTTTTATTTAGCGTGAAAAATTATAGTACTTAAGAAGACTACGGAGAGTTAAAAAAAGAAAAAAATCAAAAACTATAAGAATGTTGGTAAAGAACTAAGATTCATTATTTTTAGAAACAAAATAACTAAGGCAACAAATTAAATCATTAGGTATCAGCATTAAAAACTATGCAAAGCGCACAAACAAATATGCAGTTAAGCTGTGGAACTTCTGTTACGTGATACTGCAGCTGTCAAAAATGCAGATGAATTTAAAAAGATTACATAAATGCACAGCAAGTGTTGCCAAACTCTGAAGAGAATCTCTGGCTCAAGCAGACCCCAAACTGTAGGCTGCTACAACTCACTAAAGAAACCATAATTGTAAGCCTCTCCTCAAGCCATCATGAGACAGAAAAACTAACCACCTCATTGTTTTGTCCAATACTTGTAATTACCTTCACACTACTTTCTCAAAGAGAATGCTCAAATATCTCAAACCTGAAAATATACTGTCCTGATGTGAGACACTCAAATTTAGCTGGCATTTAAAAATGCTATAGCGTACAGAGTTCCCAATAAGCATCATGTGCAACTCCAGATTTCTTTCTGGATTTTTTCCAGATGGGTAATAGAGAGTTTTTAACTACCAAATGACATGTGAGCTTTTTTCCTAGATTCAAATTCTACTTCAGTGAGTATACAGAACTAATACTGCTCACATACTGAACAATTCTTTTTAAGAAGTTCTTTACCTGACTCATTGTACCCTTAGGAATCATGCTTCTCCTCTTTACAGAGCTCATTATCTGCTAAAAGAGCTTTCATAAAATACATTTTCATAACATATCTCCCAAGAATGGCAAACAGAATAGGTGACATCTTTCTATTTTGTGAGATATGCAGTCTCTTTCAAGATTTTGCATTTTGTGTTGCATTCTTCAGCTTTGTAGATACAAGATCGTGAGCATACATTAGCCAGACTGAATGGTCACCAGCTACTCATCACCAGGGAACAGGAAATTTTATTAGAAGTGTTGGAGAATATTAAGCTAAATTAAAATGAACAAAAGCCTCGTGATTATAATACTTGGTTACCTGTATCTTTAATCTTATTTTACAGAAATGTATAATAATGTATTTTAAGTGAGAGAATGCAGTACCTACTACAGCTTTACATATAGTATCAGAGAAAATGATCTGATTAGTGTAATAGCTGTAAGAATCTCTAGAAACTATACCCTTGTTGCCCTAAAAGACTTTGCAATATAGAGCTTTGCCATAGTACAAATAGGTTCTCCAGGAATCTGAAAAGGACTGACAGAATGATAACGATTCTCAGCACTTTTTATGAGAATAAATCTTAAGTAGCACTATTTTAATCAAATGACTCATAATATATTCAACACCAGAATCTCTGATATCTCAAGAAATCTACTTAAAAGACAACACTGCAAAAGCAATTTATTTGAGTGGCAGCAAGGAGAGAGCACATAAGCTAATTACAATACTCTTACCTGACAATTGTACTTCAGTAAAGCTTTTTTAATTTCTCAAAGAGCAACATTTTGATGTTCATTCTCATAAAATCTTATGCTCATCTCATCTGCTGCCAAAGCAGAAATATTCAGCCAGCAATATATGCTCCATAATGGAACACACACAAATATCCATCCCCCAAATTAACTGAAAAAACATTAAATGACAGAAAAGCTAAAAGACTATAAAATACTATATAACACAAACACAAACTTCCATAGA